CTTAGATTAGGCACAGAGAAACTGAAAGACAAGAGTCAGCACAGAGGGGAAAAAATGGATATATATACATATAAAAAAAAGATTCTGGGGCTGTTGCTCATTCATCCAACCTCACAAACAGCAGAGTTACAGAGGAAGGTGAGGCAGACGTAAGAAAAGAAGTGAAGACGAAGAGGACTCAATTGGCAGAGAGATCACAGCTATCTATTTACAGATTAGCATGGGCTCAGGCTGTGTGCGTGTGTTGCGTGTTTGTAGGCAATGCAGGCGTTGTGTGGGAATGTTAGTGTGGCACGAACGTTTCCACACAGCTATTCACTCATATACACACACACATCAAACATGGTTATATCCCATGTACAAAACAGCAACAAATGACCAGGCTGCAGTTTGTGTTTGATTATTAACTGTAGGTAATCATCTCCAGGGCCGCAGCTGTTCAAAAGGCTTTCATTTAATGACAACTGAACCATACATTATATTTGAGAGATTATAGGGATGAAAATGTGGTGGAAGTAAAAAACCTACAGGAGTTTTCTTCAGCTTTTAGACCTCTTTATTTCCCTTTTATTTTGTTGATGGCTGAACTGCTGAAAAATTCACCTTCCTGCTGAACTCCAATTGGACTTTATAAAAAATGCATAAGGGGAACAACAAGACCAAGAAACAAAAGAATTACGGTGAAATTAAATTTGCGCTACAATATTGAATATTTGTTTTTTTTTTAGGTGTAAAAGTCAGGTTGGATATTGTGCATGCAGCAAAAAGAAACAAGAGTCACAAAAAAAAAAAAAACCAGAAAGATACAGTGGAGCCACCAGGAAGTCTGACATGGTGTTGGTCAGTCAACACCATGTCCTTCTTGGTGTGCAAATTTTTAATATCTTTCACTCAAATCCCAATCCTAACCCACGCCACAAAAATGTGAAGCTTAAATAAAAGTAATAAATTCTGTAGAAAGTTTCAGTTTTGCTGTGCCACTCCAAGATTATCAGTTACAGAGGCATTCTTGGAAACGTCTGAATTTGTTCTGTTGCCGAACTGAAAACAACAATTGCCAATGGACAACCACAACGCTAAAATTATTCATCATTGGAAAAAAACTCAAGTGTATATGTTCTCCCAGAACTTTCTAAAGTTATTTCAGTAGCTTTAAGGGGTTTATTTCAGCCTGTTTGGTCTCAGTGTGTTGTGTTTTTGCATGAACAAGGTCATGAGTCAAACAGATTCCTTCTACAATATGCTAACTAACATTTATATATGTGGCAGTGGTTCAAGGTCTTGTCCTTTAAAACGAGATCTTCATCCATCTATCACGTTTCCATTCACTGGCCAGAGACCTTGTGATATTAAAACGTGACAAAGTGAAGTCTGTCTCATGGTGAAGTAAATGTAAGCTAATAATGATTAACCTTATTTGGTTAAAGGTTTTTTTTAAAACTTGAGATGTTGTATAAATCTCATATTTTGAAAAAAGAAAAGAGGTAATCTCCCAACCATTAGTTGAAATCGACAAATATTTGAAAATCCCTCTGAAAATACTTATGACTAACTTTTTAAACAAGGTTTATTTAGTTTATTTAATATAAACAAGGTAACGGATTATGCTAAAGTTAACACCCAAATAGAAGTTTACCATCAATAAATTAATCAGTAAAGCTTATTTTACTGTTTAAAGGACTCTGGATTGCCTTATATAATTTTATGGTGAAGATCAAAAACGCCTCGGTCAAATTTGAAATTACTGATTCTCAAGCATAGGTTTTTAAAACACAGACTCAGAATTGGAAAACTTGTTTTATTAAAAACAAGTTTTGCAACACATTAGGACCTCCAGAGATTGAGACAAGGATTAAATAAAACACACCCACACATTGAGAGAATACAGACTGGTTCAACCTGTATCTAATCAGTCTTCTCTCACTACAGTTTTTTTCAAATAAACTTTGTAAAATCTTTTCTTGTATTGTATATTCTAGCATCTACATCTCTGATTTGCATGTTTGAAATTTGACAGTGAATGGTGTGTACTCTGTGCATCCTGGCTAAACTCCTACAATTTCAGTACATCTATCTCATTACTATTGTTTTTGCTTTTTTTCTCTCGCTTCAAATAAATGTCCTGCTGCATTGTTTAGAGACAGAAAAAAGAGGCATGAATTCCAAACAAGCCATACTTACTAGGTATATTTCCAGCTGAACTGTTATGAACTTCAACATTTAACATGCTAACTGAGTTCTGAAGAGTGTGAAATGTTGCTCTTGGGTATTTTGCAATTTCTCTTAGTATTGCATGCTCTGACCTCGACGTGATCGTGCTGGGACATCCACTCCAGGGAAAGAGTGAAATCTACCTTGAATGTTTTAGGCTTCTGAAAATACAAAAAATTCCAAGGGTTCATAATAATTCTTCCCAGAATGATGGCCAGCAGCGTTTTCCTTTTTGAAATCGTTGCTGATATGTTTTAATGCTCTTCAGTTTCGAAATCGTTGCTGATATGTTTTAATGCTCTTCAGTTTAGTTTAAATCAAAATCAGCATGAGGTGCAACCATGCTGCTAAATGCCTTTTTTAATAAAGGATTAATTGTTAGCCGAGAGATCAGTCATCAGCTTTTTACTTAGTTTCTTCATTCCCACAGAAACATTAAATGGTCACATACTCCTTCTACATGTGGCCCTACAGTATTTGTCAAATGAATACTGTTCTGTATCAAATGTTATTCACTGTTCATTGCAATTACCTGATTTTCGAAGATTTGTAATCAGAAATGATAAATATTTTCTGGATTATGTTTCTGCATAATGTCTGCTTGAAATTCAGCTTGATGTCACGCTTCCACTTTTTGTTCTTTTTTGTTGTTGTTGCTAAGAAAAAAACAACAACAAAAAAACACAAAAAAAACTTGAAGATCGAAATTCAGCTTACATGAAACTTAAATTTCACTTGCAATTCAGTTAATTACTCTGTAGCAGCCATAAGCACAAGTGGGGAAAAAAGGTTTTGCAAAAAAATTAAATCTGCCCGTCATTCTTAACACACCATCACCATGGCGACACATGTTTTTCTTTTGCAGGGACAGGAAGGCTGGTTATGGTTCACATGTTGAAAAAAAGAAAGACTAAGGATGTCTGAATGCATATGCCCATCACACTTCTCCGATTTTTATTATGCACCAACTGTTTTTGGTCCATCGAATAAACGAATAATGGAAAAACACTGAAGTTTGTGAAACAATTCAAGAGCTATGTTAAATACGTATTACATTGACTCAGTGCACTTTTCCTCTTCTAATAAATTTCTTTTCCTCTCTTTAAACGTGTTCAATACAGAATAACTGAAATTATGCAGCACTGAAGACTGAAAGCTAAAGGGCAGTTATGCTATATGTAATGAAATCTTTCGGAATGTTATGTCTACTATAATCGCCGAGACACGGCGTGCAGCTGAGCACACACCACGGCTGTGAGCACATCACCCTCGCAGCAGATGAAATGAATGTGTTCATGCGGTACATAAAAGCTGTCGTCATTTAAGTCACAGCCAGGTACAGAATCTGATGTCAAATTATAGCACATGACAGGCGTCACCATAAGCAGACTTAAATTGTGAATTCATTTTACTTGATTCATCTGCCAAAAGATGAGGGGGAGAAAAAAAGAGTGATTTTTTAATTTATTTATTTTTAACAAAGGAGCAAACCCCTCCAGATACGTTCGTCAGGTTGAGAGTTCTTCATCTCTCTTGAGGCAAACCCAATTGTTTATATTTTTAAGCAAAATTAAAAAAAAAAAAAAAAAACAGGATGCATCAGACTGTCAAAACGTGATTTTAGGGATAAATACAGATTAGATGAGAATAGCTTTATGATGTTCACAGAGGGGGTAATTTAGCCCTCACTCTCTGCTTTTATGGTTTGCATTTGTGCCCCGGGTGTCGCCAGTTTGTTTAAATGTCTTGTTAGAACCAAGTTCCCTTTTTGAGAAAGATTTATAAATAACTGTGACCTGATTACCTGGGACCTAATTCCTAAAATGTAGTGTGCATTATGTTGAAAGAACCTGAGCCTTATAATGCTCGTCTGCCTTTTCTTGCCCTCTGCCTCTTTGTTGTTCAATCAGCAGTTGTTTATCCACTTCGCACCAGCTCCTCTGCCTCGCCCTGAATGATGGCAGGTGTTGGTAGCATCCTTCTCCTCGTGGCTTTTAGCTTTGAGTGGCAGGATAATAAGACAGAGGCGTGAAGCATGGACAAAAATAGCTTCAGGCTGCACTTTTAAAAGATGAAAAACATGCAGTCTGTGTCTGTTTCACATGCATATTTTAGTTTAAAGCGCTTGGATCAAAGCCTGGTGGGTTGTTTAAGCACAAATGGTTATTCGGATGAGGTGAGCTCAACGCTCGTGACGGCGCACACCAAACAAATCCAAAGCGGCACGGAACGGAGTCCGCAGGGAAAACACTTAATGTCCCTGGAGGCGAAGCAGAGAGATTGTTCATCATGTATGATGTAAGAAATGTCACAGCACTTGTTTATAGGAGTCCCACGAAGGATCAGCGGGGAGGAAGCGTGTTTTTTTATGGCCCAGCTAACTGATTTATTTAATTTGGTTATTTTAAACGACCCTCAGTGCCTCAATCATTTGGCAGATGGAGGCTTTTAAATGCCCTTCAGATTTTTCATGCAAAAGGAACAGAGATTTTAAAGTTAAAAAGCAGAAGTTTTAAAACACACTAAAAAAATAAGCTCTCTGATATTTAAACAGACTAAAATGCTCCTATTTTAGAAAAGTTATTGTATTTATGTTTGTATGATGTTCTCTACTGTCTGTGTTTTATTTTATTTTGACAATCTGATGCCAAACTGTCAATGTAACAGGACATAAAACAAGTTTATTGAAAGTGTTGCATTTATTGGTTAGTACTACTCTGTTATCAGTCAGCGGGGTGTGAGATGGGTTGGGCTGTTGAACCAACTAATCTCCTCCCTCACTGCTTCTATAGATAACAGCAGAACAACAGCAAACACTTTAAAAAAAACAGCATCAGTTTGTCCACAGCTTCAAGAAGACACTTTCTAATACGATGACTGACATGGAATCTTTGTAAGTATGAAAATACTCTTGGTGTGTACAATGTTTAACTTCACTGGATGGGAGGAATATAAGGGAGTTTCTAATGTGTTTCAGGGATAAGCTGCCGACAGATGGTGAGAGTGGTGGTCTTAAAAAGAGCAAAAAGAAGCAAAAGAGAGAAGATTCTTGGAGACCAGAGGGACCCAGAGACCCATTTGCCATGGTTAGTGTCTCCACAGATAAAAGAAAATATTGTTACACTCACTTCAACTAAAAAAAATCACTTTCATGTGCCTTTTTTTCTTTAAGCAAAGGTTTTAGGGTTAAACGGCCATGCTTCTCTGCTTTGCTGAACTCACGCTGACATATTTCGCAGCTGGTCAGTCGAGCTCAGGGTTTTTGTGCTGACTTACAGTAAAGTGTCCTTCCTCTTTCGTGCTCTTGGCCAGCTGGATTCTCTGCCAGAGAAGGAACAGCAGGAGATACAGAAAGCCCTTCATCTCTTCTCTCTGGGCACCAGCTTGCCCAAGACCCTGCAACAGGCCAAAAACCACACCTACCGCTTCTGGGACACGCAGCCCGTCACCAAACTGGGTAAGCAGAAAGTCATCCTGTCATGATGGTTATATAGCTCAGAAGTTTAAATAAGAGGATTCACCTGTAAGGTTTCTGTTAACTCAGGAAAAAGTGTAAATTACATTCACATTACTGATCAGAGCAGATGAATAAGCACATTTTTCTTACTTTGGAGACAGACAGCTTTCCTTATTTTCCTTATTATATTCTAATACGATGCAATAAATAGTCACTTGGATGTAGTGCAGTTGTAGCTTTGTATAATTGGACACATGAGGTCTTTGAACCTCAGAAAGTAAAAATGTAAAGTGTTTCTATCAACATTAACTTCCTCAAATCTGCATTTATGAAATCTGCATTCTTTAAAAAAAATCTTCACCTTATTATGATTTTATGACTCTGCGTAATACATTATTATGTAATTAGGCAAATGTGTTGGATTACATTAAGGATTGCTTTTTTAATAGATCTTTAAATAGATCTGTAAAATTTGAACATTTTGGGCTGGTTTGCAAAAGTTAGTCAGAGCAAATGAATAAGCTAATTTTTGGTGTATTTTGTCTCAAAATAATCTTTTAAGCATTTTTCTGATGAGATTTAGCAATATCAAGCAGGTCCAGTTTTTCTCTCCAGTACTGCTGTCGGTCGTCAAGCTCTGATATCTCTGTGGATGTGCTGCATGAACAACACATGGTGCACACTATGAGTAACCCATAAAAACTGAATGTGGTTTCTATCACTGAATGATAGAATGTGGGATGTGGGCTTCAACACCATCGCTTTGGTTATCTCCAGATATGCAGTTCGCACCAAAAATGAATTGGTGTTTGAGAACTGTTGTGTGATTGGCCAGAAATCCACAGTGAGGATATTTACTGTATTTACAAAGGCTGAAGTGGGAACCTCTTGTGAGGGCTTCAGTTGAGCTTTTGAAATATTACTTGCCCGGACCAGAAGGAACTTTGTTGTTGTTCAAACTATCTCAAGTAATTAAACAAATCTGTTTGTTCTGTCTTCTTTTTTTAAAAAAAGTTTTTCTACCACTGATGACATTTATGTGCATTAGATCAGTCTGGAAATGAGAAGAGAGAGAAAAAGGTGAACGTCCTGGAATGGTTCGTCGACCTGGGGATATGTGGTGGCTGTTCGCTACTCCACATCCCACCTATTGGTCTTATATTCTATGGATTCTGACAGAAATTGTCTTGCTGCTGGTTCGCCATTTAACTCTTGGCTAACCAGCAGAAACATGTCCCGTCATGTTTTAGGGTTTTATTAGGGAACCAAAGGAAGACAGTCACTGGTAGAGAGTTGAGAAGTTTATCAGAAAATGATAGGAATAGTTACAAAACTTTGGAAGAAGACTAGGAGCAAGACATGGAGTAGGAGCAGAGTCAGAAGAAAACATAAGGTAGAGAAGGAAATAGGCAGATGGAAAGAAGGCTAATAAAATAAAGAAGTTGAGGAAGAAAAACAACATCCAGAGGGATGAAAGATTAACGCTAACTTGAGAAAATTCACAAACAAAATGCAAGAAAAAATGAAGAACTGAGTACAAGAGAATGGACTGAAACAGCAAGACCAAGGCTGAACACAGATAAACAATAAAATAATCAAAATGCAAATGCAATAAAAACAAAAACACCCCCAGAACGGTGGCATGTCATGAACTGAATGACTCATCTTGTAAGGAGCCATTGTATCCTTGATATATAGATATTTATGCAAGTTCACTTTAAAATCATCAGACCATTGATATGAATTTTGAGCTGCTCAGTGGTGCAGCTGCTGGCTCTGTTAACCATTAGAAAATGTCCTTCTGCATGAAGTAACTTCTATCAATGCATTTTAGCCTAGAATCAAAAGTCTTTTGACCAATAAAATATACCAGAAGCCTGTGTGTGCTACCAAAGTATTTAGCTTGCTAGTTCTGAGGTAAATGATAAAGTGAGTATTCAGTCCTGGAATAACAGTCATTATGCTGTATGGATGCATAACTTTAATCTGATTATTGGACTATAAATAGTAACGTGTTAGAATACCTCCTGAAACAAGGGGCCAGATTAGAGTAAGAAAGGATAAGTCCTTTTTTTTGAGACATTGTTTTGCTTACTTAACTTCTGACCGGAGATTTGGACGTTTGGATGCTCACTGCACATTCATTGCACGGCAGCTCATGAAACCAGCGAAGCGTGTGGTACCTACCGCGGCCACCAGGGGGCCCCAAGAGCTAAATATATATTTTTTTCCTTTTTATCCATAAAATAATGATTTCTACATTATCAAATATACATTATTGTAAAAATAAATCACTTCGTAGTTAAATTGTGTATTTCTGATATTATAATGATATTATAAATACACTTCACTGAGGGCTCTGTAAGCCACAGCTGACAGGGTCTGGGGAACCGCAACAGGGTGGACAGAGTCCAGAACAGCTGAGATGGGAATGCTCCTAAACAGAGCCAGATTGAGAGGCTGGTGTTGAGTTGCTGCAGGGCTGTGTTGTCTTTTCTCCTCCATTCCCTGGAATGCTTTCTCTTTTATCACTACTTTGTTGTCATTTTCAGTACGTACGGCTAAGGATGATGGCAGGCGAACTTCATTTGGTATGTTTTGGTTTCCCTCAGGTGATCACATTACAACTCATGGCCCAATCGAGGAGGTGGACGCCAGTATCCGGAGTGAGCCATGCTTACTTCCTCAGGGATTCTCCTGGGATACTCTGGACTTGAGCAGTCCTTCTGTGGTAAGTCACCCACCATCCCTACTGGTGCACACCAATAACTACAACCTGTTTGAAACTCATCATGAAGGAAAGCCAAACAAAACCTGGCACCTTATGTCTTTCTGGCATAAATCATCCAAAAATAGCAAATGTATTCAAACACTGAACTTTTTCACATTATGTTACATGTCAACATCAACATTCATGTATTTGGTTGTAATTTGATTTCTGTTGATCTCTACAGCCTCTTGACTACATGTGTATTTATTGCTCTTCAGATTTTCTCGTTTAGATGCATGTAAGGCCTTAGCAGAACAGTTGGAAAAGCTGGTTGTAATGTGACAAAATGTGAAAACATTTAAAAGGTATGACTGCATTTTTAAGGCACTGTAGTTCTGTTGTTTCCTTGACAACCTGTGTTTTAGATCGACTTGTTTACCAGATATGGTGCTGCTCACTCTGGTGGACAGTTTTTAGAATCATAACCCAGCCAAATAAGGTTTGAAAAAAAAATTATTTTCCGGTTTTCTTCACAGTTGGGAGAGCTGTGCCATTTTCTAAATGAGAATTACATGGAAGAAGATGACAACACAATCAGATTTAACTTTTCTCCTGAGTATCTACTGTGGTAAGCTGCTGTGTTTAATCATACCTTATCAATCGATTTTTAAATATTTATGCAGTCCATTTAATAATCCAGTGGGCATTTTTGTTTCAACCTACTCCCAATTAATGTTGAGTTGAGATCATTCGACAGATCCTTGTTGGTCTGTCACAGCCCAATAAATTCAGCTTGTGTGTTTTAAAGTAAGCGAGCTGCCTGTTTTAATCTCCTTCTTTTTAAAGCCGACATTGATTGCTTTCCAACCCTTTGGGCCACTAGCAGTCAACCATTTAACACTTACTTTGAATTTAATATTTGTCATTAGTTTTAGAAGAGTTAGAGCTGACCGTTGGTCCCTGAAGATAAAAAAAAAAAATCATGTAGGAATATAGCGAAAGAGAACATGTTTTTCAGAGACATACTTAAGTGTCACTGATCTCCTCCTCCTAAGGGCTTTACAGCCTCCAAACTGGCTGCTCCAGTGGAACTTGGGCGTGAGAGTAGACGCAAATAAGAAGTTAGTCGGTTTCATTGCTGCTGTACCTGCTGATGTTCGCATTTACGAGACGTGAGTAGCTCGTAAATTCATGCAAAGATATGTGTGTGAATGTGTAAAACCAAAGTCAAGAGCCTGAAATCTGTCTCACAGGAAGAAGGGGTTGGTGCAGGTCAAATTTCTGTGTGTTCATAAAAAACTGCGCCTCAAGCGGATGACGCCGGTTCTGATTCGGGAACTTACGAGAAGGGTCAACCAGCAGGGGATCTACCAGGCTGTTTATGCAGCTGGCACAGTGTTGCCAACACCAATAAGCTCCTGCAGGTAGCTACTGCACATGATAGTTATATTAAAGTAAATTCAAAGCAGAATCATAGCCATCAGTTACTTAAAGTTGCATTTTTCTTATGTGTATATACACAACTTTGCCTGCATTTTTACCACCTTTGACATTTTCAACTTGACTTATGCAAATTCAGTGTGTTTCATTAAGATTTGGTGTGATGCAGCACAGACTAGTGAATAATCATGAAGGAGAGGGAAGATTAAACTATTTTCCAAACAAAATCTGAAAAGTGTGGCACACATTTAAAATTTAGCGTGCCACAAGCCTTGCAAGAGACATAGGAGAAAAAGGTGCTTGCTTCACCTTTGAGTACAACAAACCCACATATTCAGCAAGATCTACTATATTTTTCTTTCTTTGTATCAAAGCGCTTTTTACACGCCAAATTACCAAGATACAGATCAGATCAATCAAATTGAGAGATTAGACTTTTTACTGGTACTGTCAACCAGTCTGTTTGATCATGAATCATTTTATAAGGAAAACTGGCAAAAATCCAGTTTCTACATGTGCAAACCCATAATAATTGCTGCTCAGATACTTCAGACATCCATTCTATAAAGTATTAGTACATACAAAGTATACATATTCTGACAATCATGTGGTATTTTACTTTCACTCAAAATTTATGCAGCATAATCCAAGGTGACAGAAACTTTTTCAAGGCCATACATGTCATTTGTAATAGTCTTACTGTTCAGTGATCTCACTGTATGTACGGTATTTTTCCTCTAAAGCAACATCTGCCTTTGTCATCCCTGATATAAACTAATGAATCCTCTCAGCCAGTGGCATCGCCCTTTGAATCCCCGTAAGCTAATGGAGGTCAACTACCCCGGTCTAAAGCAGAGCATGAATCTGCAGCGAGCCTTGAAGTTTAACCGCTTACCTGAGGTTAGTGTGTGCTGCCATCTAGAGACAAACATGTATTATTGTTACTGAAGGGACAGAAGTGTTGGACTGTAAAAATATCCTTAAAGCACTAATTTAATCAGTAAAGTTTTCTTCGATCATTTTTTTCCAAGGTGACAAAGATAAGGGGGCTGCGTCCTATGACTAAAGAAGATACTCCAAGGATCCTCTCATTACTCGAGAAAAACCTCTCCAACTTCCACCTCAGTCCCCTTTTATCGCTGCAGGAAATAGAGCACTGGTTCTTACCAAAGGAGAATGTGAATGACACCTACGTGTTGGAGGTCTGACCTTCTTCTATCTGTACTTTAAATTCCTTTGAACAGAGAGAAACTTTTTTGTTAAGAATTTAAGCTGCGGTGCAGTGGTAGAAAAATTGATTGACCTTTCATTCCTTGCTCACAGGCGGACAATGGTACTCTGACTGACATGGTGAGTTTTTATGCCATCTCCTCCAGGGTGCTAAACCATCCAGTTCACACCAGTCTCAAAGCCGCTTGTCTTCTGTACACCGTCTGTAATGCCACCGGGGTGGTTGACCTCATGCAGGACACATTGATTCTGGCTAAAGCTGTGAGTTTATCAGAATATAAGCATCTCTGATTTAACAAGCACTGCTGTGAAAAATGCCCATTTTTTTTTTTGCTTGTTGTTTTTTTTTTCTTTCACAAGCAGAAAGGTTTTGATGTCTTCTGTGCTCTCGATGTGATGGACAACATGAGTTTCTTGGAAAAGCTAAAGTTCACCATCAGCGATAAAAGTATCCATTACTACCTGTACAACTGGAAATGTCCTCTCATGGGCCCGGACAAGGTACTCACTACTGTAATATCTTGCCAAGAGTGGACAGACAGAGAAACTTCTGCTGTCAGGGCCTGTAATGATCTTTCACCTCTTTCATTTCTGATCTCATCTTGGAACTACAATTTTTTTCACAAAACAGAAAATTTTATTCTTGAGATTATTTATTTTTCCAAATGGAAAAGGAAAACACATCGGGTAAAATTTATATAAAAAAAAAACTGTGTGAAAGTGGTAAGAAAACTTTTATTTTATTTTATTATTTTTATTTATTACACATAAAATTTCAAAAGGCACAGCAGCTTGGACATTAATCATACACAACTTTTGTAATTTGCTTGCACCAGAGCATCTGATTCAGTTTTAGGCCATAATCCTGTTGAGAGACCAGGTTGAAGAAAACTTCAACATTCGGACAAACGTTTTTCTGAAAATGATGGAATATGCACATTTTAGAAATGGTCTTAGGATCTTATGTGTTTACAGACTTGTAGCAATAATTACTTCTCTAAAGTCATTGATATTTATATTGATGTCTCTCCTCGTTAGGTAAGACACACACACCACTCCAGATGCCTTTTATCTTTGATTTTATATTAAAATCAAAACTGGCGCAGTTAAAGTAACTTGAAATCTTTTTTGTTAGTCTTACTATGCCAGCTTTTAACGATTCTGTGGCTGCAGCAGTGATAGTTTGCAACCATCCACACTAACAAGTGTTTATTTTACAGGTCAGTCTGGTGTTACCCAACTAATCTGAGGCTTTGAAGATGAAATGATCTGCATCACTACCTGTGCTTTCAGGATTCACTATGATGTACAAAATTATATGCATGTTTGTGTGTTTACATGTGAATGCACGTGTGTGAGACTGTGTGTGGGTATAATGATCAACATCAAAAGGCCTGTGGTTGCAATGTTACCGAGATCAGTCCTAAAACTGCATTAATCATTGTCTAAAGCTCCAGCTTTAGAATGTCAAGAATAAGCAATTATGTAAAACTCGTCGTTGAATTCAGAATACAAAGGAAAACATAATAAAATCCGTAATGTCCTGAAAACCTGAACATCTAATGTTTATTTCATTTCTGCAAAAGCGACAAACAATCCTGGTTAGAGCTTTTAGGAGTTGATAATTACATAAAACAGTAAAGCTTATTGCTGTGTAATTGTTAGACTGTGTAAACCAACCACAAACCAAATGCCACATGTTGCATATTGTTTTAGTTTGGGCAATAGGGTGCGCTACAGTATAATATCATAGGCAGGCTATCCATCTGAATGTCCTAGAAACTAAAACAAAGTTTGGATTTGGAAAGTGACACACAATGAAGCGATAGAAAAAGGCGTATAAACTAAACAATATACATTAAGCAAATGTCAGCAAAATAAATTTAATTTATTGTACAACCACAGAGATTTCTCATTTCAGAAACAGGTAAAAAGCATGTATACAGTATGTGCTTTGTTTTGTTTTCTTATTTGAATAAAGCAGTATTAATGTAACTCAGGCCAAATATAATTCTAGATATTGTTATGGTTTTCAAAAACCTTTAAGGATTGAGCAATAAAATATATCAGAATAAACAATTATGTAATACTAATATTGAATTTTTATTTTTTAGCTTGACTGAATGGTTATTTACAAAGAAGTTGCAATTATTTACACAGGAAATATAGGTAAGTGGAAGTGCACCAATTATCTTGAAATAATGTGACAGCATCATAGATTTAAAGCATACCAGTGAAAATGTTAAAGTGAATTCGATTTTTACACTATCTTACCTGTTTATTACGTATTGATTGGAAAAAGCATTATTTTCTCTGTTCTTAGTTCTCTATTCACACAGGAAGATACTTGATTGTGCAGATCCTATGTATACTCGAAGTTGCTAATGTCAGAATCTGAATTCAGAGGTTGTTTTGGTTTCTCAGTACAAAGAGAACAGATCATTAAACCAATTTGTTTTGCATTACAAAACTTACACCAAGCAGGTTCATTTTATTAATCTGTGTTCAAAAGATTACAATTTTTCTATTAAATGAATCATACAATGAGGCCCAACTTGATAAAACTCGAAGAGATAAAAGAGAAAGGGGCGTTTACCAGCGCCACATGAACGCAACGCTGTGGTGAGATCTGACCAATCAGGAGCCAGAAGGCATTTTAAGTTTGAAGAGACCGGACTTCGCCAGAGCACTCGCTGCAAGCTTTGCTAAGGACCATTGAGCTGCGAGGAATGTGCATATAAAGCCGGACTGCGCTCTGAAGAAGAAGGTAGGTGTTGATTTTATTCATCTTTTCTCTCATTGCTCTGGTTAACGGTCGCTCTCGCTAGCGGAACGTCAACCACGAGCGACGTGCTCAGGTTAACGTTAGCAGGAACTTTTAAAAAAAACAGCTGATGCGTGTGTGGTTTCCTCACACTTTGTAGTACCTACTTTCACACAGACGCCGCGTTTGTGTACTAGTTGTATTTTACGGCTTCTGAAGAGACTTCAGATAGAAAATAAAGCGCAGGTACGTTGTGCCAGGGTATAAAATTGGGAGATTATTTCTGCGTTTTCGCAATAAATGAGTTGTTGCAGCGTAACTTCTCTATTGTTGCTGACGGGGGTTAGCAAAAAACTGCGCTTCCTGTGAAGATATCAAGTCATTTCAGTGTTTTTTAAAGGAAATATTAATCACTCGTTTATTTTATGGTACGGTGAAGTTACCCTGTCATTCATAAACTCATGGTGTGCCACTGCATTGGTCAAGGCTTCATTCACAACACTTAAACCCCTTCAAGCTAATTTTTGTCTTTTACGCTCACTTGTTAGGCTTACTGAGTTGCTCATTTTGTTACAGTTTAATAGGGGTTTTCTGTTAGATTTGTCCTGCCCTCTTTTCATCAGCTACCCGTATTCTGCAGACACAGTCAGAGGTCAACGTTTGGGACAGAGCTGTGCAAACCCAGCTGTAAAAACAAAGTGAGTTTGAAAAAAAATGTGTTAGGAAAGTTGAAATATCCACAGTCAGTGGAACCTGTGCCTTCAGTTCTGTGGTGAGAACTATTCTTGTAGTTCACCACAGTTAACATTATTATAGTTTTGAAACAGAACTACTTGTCTGTGTCGTTCTGCCCAGGCAGTGCAAATAGTCAGACATATTGAGCAATTTGTAGTTCCAGGCAATGCAGTGGCATGATAGTTTCAACACTGTAGTAAATGCGAATAAAATTACAATTGCATTTCCTTTTCAACAATTGTAAATCTATGGTATTTATGTCATGTTCTCACATTCTGCTCAAGGGTTTTCCTGCAGTCAGATTGAATACTAGTAAACCTCTCCAGAGAGGAAATGTGAATCAAAACAGAGAAATCACAAATACTTATATCTTGAGTGAATTGGGTCTATTTACCAACTTTCTGTTCTCCAAAGAAATGACTTGTATGACTTCTTTCATGTATGTAGACATATTGTCAATGATTGTTTATTGTAAGGGTATATTTTATCAGGCTTAATGATAATTAAATGGCAAAGAAATAGAAAAAAAAAAACTGATGTTTGCTTTATTGAGGGCATACTCTCAAATCTATTTATGTTGACATTTATTTTAAGTGTCCTCTGTGCTCCAGTTTTGAGAAATCTCTAGTCGCTCTGACACTTTCTGTTGAATCGTACTACAATAACTTCAAATTGGAGGAAAGGAAAGATGAGAACAGTTTGGTAGTTTTGAAACTCTTAGGATCTTTCCACACTTGATAGTTAAGTAGACTTGGTTTGATCAGCGACAAACATTTGTTACATTTTCAGTTGGTGCAATTTGCTTCCACACCGCACAGTGTCAAATGAACTAAACCTTTCAAAAACCTGTTCATCCCTTCGTCTGTGGTGGTGCTGCACCAAGAACCACTCAAGAAAATGACACATAAACAAGTGCAACTTCCTTTTTCCCCCAACTGTAAGCATAAATGGAGTGGCATGAAATTTTAGTGGTTGTAGAATTTCTTATTTTAAAACCTTACAAGCAGTTTCTTCTACTAGAGCTAGATAACAAGTGATTGCTTTGGTTCTGTTTACCCAGAATGCTCTGTATTATTGTCTGCTTCTTGCTTTTGGAGTGTTTGCATTCAAACTGCACCAGAGTTTGCTTCAATCGAACTGAGACCTCGGTTTTTAGGTGTACCAGAGTTCGCTGTTTTTGTCCATATCAGAGTTTGATAGTGCATTCATACCTCCCCTCGGTGTGGTATGTTTCTAGACAAATATACCAGCGTTCCATTGAACAGACTAAATGAACCTTTACTGTCAACTTTGGATTATATTGTACAGCTGTTGACAGTCCTGCGTCCATTTAATTAGTTTTGACAGATTTAATAGTTTCCCTTGAGACTAAACTAATCTTGAAGTATGTATGATCTGTTTTTTGCAGTTGCAGCAAGAAAGTTGTCAGTTATTTTTAGGTGTGGTAGCTATCGTTTTAGAAGTAACTCTTTCTTTTTCCACATAATGAACTGAATGAACCACACTGAGCCCTCACATCTATAGGTTATGGAATTTGAGGCACACCAACCTGTCATTTTCCCAGCTGCTTGTGTCACAACAGGCCTCCCCAAACATCCCCGATTCACATCTTGCACAGAGTTGTGCAAGATGGCAAGAAGAAAATGCGTCTGAAGGTGTTTATGCAGATTCCAGTGGCTCTTTTTTGTTTTCTTTTTTTTTTTTTCTTGAACAATGGGATATGATGAGCAAAGGTGAAGGTTATCTAGTTTTAATCTCCTGACTAACTTTTTTTTTCAGTGAGGAGAGGTTGTTGTTGTATTGCCCTTGCAGGAATCATGTTTTTTTAAACGCAGGCAAGAGTTCCTCCAAATATGACTGACTGTGTCCCAGATAAGGGCCTCTGCTGCAGGCATGTTTTGTTCTATACTGGAATTTTTTCCCCTTTAGTTCAACTGAACATAACCAGGAAATAATCAGGTTACAATTTCTGGACCAGTGAAACTATTCATATAAAAATTACAAAGTGTCCTAGGCTTCATATTACAGTGCTGTATCCTTAACAGTTGTGCAAAGTCATCCTTCCCAAAACCTTTTTTAAGTTAACTCTGATCTAATATTCTCTCTCTCTCAGATCACTGTGCTATCTATCTCTTGGTCTGTCATTTGACTTCATGTTTTTTTTTTTTTTTTTATAGAGCATATTAAGAAAATACATCTTTGGACAATATATACTCAGATGCAGTTTCTACGTGACACAAAATTGACTGGTGTTTGTGAAGCAGCTGATTCAGGAGCGTGATTTATTTTCCTCGCTGCTGATTGGAGCCTAAGAGTTGAGATAAGGAAGACTGTAGATGTTATCTTATGCGTTAGCGTCAATACGGTTTCGACTGCGTAGCAATGCACAAAGTGCATTTACTCTTTGAACGATTAAAATAGGAGGTATTAAACATTTTTAGTAGGGATCTCAAGTATTCATGGATTTTAGGTTTAGCACAGCTCCGTTGGTGTGTGAATACTGAAGGTCTGCTGTACTGATGAAAGTTTGGGGTTTGTTTTGCTATACTGTATAGGTACCATATATTCAATAAATGGCACTGATTCATTTTTTCATCTGGTATTGTCTGCATCAGCAAGTATCTGGTCTTGAATGACTCTTGCCTTTTTAAAGTGATGCTGCATTTTAGTTGCTGCTGTAAAGGTTCCAAGTTTCTGAAATCATTGTGGAGTGAGAAACTCGTCTCGCTGATGATCAAATAGTTGAATGTAACAACATGAATAAGAAAAAAGACAGCATTCAGTTCTTACTGATTCTCTTTCACCCTCTCTGGGAGTCCTCCCTGGCATGAGCTGTGCACTAGTTGACTGTGTTACTTAACAGTTAAATAAAACATGTCAACTAAACTGTAAAAGTAGGCTGCAGTAACTTAGAGAGTAACCACCCACACATTCCTATCCCCCTCCCTTTTTTCTGGTTCCATCTTTTTTCTCATTTGTTTTCAGTTATAGTTGAACTGCTGCAAGAAGTCTTGCAGTACAAATATTTACATAATGCAGAAGGGAAATGATAGTGGG